GCCTGTATGTGAAACTTTTTTTAAAAACGCAAAGGAAAATCTTTTCCATTTTTAGTACATCGTTGTCTTGTAAATGTACCCTAATATGTCAATAACTAAGTAGTACTGTATTTTTTGCAATTTTTTAGCAGCAAATCACAAACAGTTACATTTTATTGACTTTGCGTTGTGTTTCATGATTGCTGAATCACGAAAACCGGAGGGACTGAACTCCGTATTCAGTTACCAGGTTTAACCTCTTCACAACATAAATTTAAGCAGAAAGTTAAGGAATGGGGTCTATTAAGATCTCTTACTCTTTCTCCCACTGGTCCTCGTGGTCCCATGGGGCCCATCGGTCCCTACAAACATATAAAAAGAATCAATTACCACCATAGTGATTCATTTAGCACAATGTTAGTGTAAATATAACAGTTTGTGTAAAACTGATTTGCAAATCTGTAAAATATTGATTGTATCATTGGTTTAGGTTGTGTTATTAAGTGGTAAAGGCCATGTGTCTCAGTACTAACCATTGGTCCCGGGGGCCCCTGCAGTCCCCTCTGTCCTGGCAGTCCAATCTCTCCTCGATCTCCTTTACTGCCCTGCAACACACACAGAAAGACAAAAACAGCTTTATCATCATTCAGCATGACTGCAGCCGTTGCTAAGATACGGTGGGTCTATGCTAGCATAATTAGCCATGCAGGACTCCTCTGTGCATCTGTCCTCATCTGATAGGACCAGAATCAGATCTGAGCAGCGTTTGACCTATTTATGACAGATGATGGTGCAATTCAACCACACTTTCCCTTAATAGATATTGACACAAGAAGCTGGCTTGATTGGGTATGTTTCAGATCTGGCAACCTGTAAATGCATTGTCTGATTAGGAGTTATAATACAAAACTTTTTTTAAGTTCAATAAAGGCAATATTCAGTCTTACTTTTATAATCTTTATATATTTTTATATCTTTATATATATTTTATTATGTTGATTTTTTGTGTGTAGATATCACATTTTGTATCTTATGTGTGTGTGTGTGTGTGTGTATGTGTATATACTGTATATATATATATATATATGT